CTGGTATATATAATACTTTTGTGTATTGTAATTTATATTATACACTTATGAAGTGGGGCGGAAATAATGGTACCTCGTCAATTTTTCTTCTGTGATTTCTGTAAATTCGGCAGCTGTGACGTCATAAATCATGGTGGGTGAGTTCTCTGACGTGATTGGTGCGTCGTCATTCTTATAGATTTATTACGTGCGTATTGTTTTTATCGATTTCTGGAGTGGATTCTGATTTGTTGTATGTTGCTTTTTTTCGTTTTGGAAATACATGTTCTTCAGTCTGTCTATCACACATCTATTTTAAATATAATATTTTTTTACATTTTTATTTAAAATCAATCAATTATTCTATAAAAATTTAGTGCTGTTAAAAACTTCATTCCAACTGCCAACAACAACAACGTTGTTTTTATTTTTCAGTTATGTATAATTTTTAATAGCCATTATAGCTATTAAATCGCAATGACGTCATCATTATCATTCTTTCTCCAATAAAATAAAACTTCCGGTCTGCTGGCTGCCTCAAGCAAGTTTGTATGAACGTATTGAAATATCAGCACTAAAACACGCTCTCCTGATGATGATCATTATGCTTATGAGAGTGCTGATAGTGATGGCGTGTTAATGAATCTAAAAAATCTATCATTAATCCCTTCTGTTGACACGTTAACTGAATCACTAACTGGAGGTACAAAGTTGAGTTGAAGCAATCGAATGGATATTTCAGATTTTTAATATACGGTAAATTAGCATTTTAAAAATAGGGTTGACAAAATAATTTGGCTGGCTGTTAAATGTGTTAAATTAACTAAATTGATTTATTTATTATGTAATTGAACATTAAAAATAAAAAACAGCATATATTTGGTTTCGAAAGATGAAAACATCACATTTCCATTATTGACTAAAATTGTTGAAAGAATCAACAAAACATTGTGCGTCATATTAGAGGTAGCAACACAGGGATGGCCAACGTGCGGCTCAGCAGTGGAGTATGGCACGATCAGAAGTGGCGCACTGAGCTCGAGGAGAAATGCAAAAAAAGCAAGCTTGTCGTTAATTAAAATAATTATTTGAAAACATTAAAAAACTTCCAAAAATCATAAATGACTCAATTTTTAACTTATATCTCTTAACTGTGCAGTCTTATGAACTTACTCAGCCAACAATTCAGTAGAATTCATACACTATTGTATAAAAAAATCCTCTTTAAACTTCTCGCGTTATTTTGTTCTTTTTTTGGTATAATTTTTTACTCGTTTTTAAAACCGAGCTCAAATTAAAATTCGTATGACATCTTTTGTATCTCGGCAAGTTAACACAGTCTGTAGACGCGCCATGTCTCTCTCGCGCTGTTATTACGCAATGGCCTAGAATGAGATCTACAACTAAGCAAATCGTGTTTCATGTATTTTAAATGCTTCCAGCTGTTCAAAAATATATTTCTATATAAATCTTATTCTGAAATGTTGTAGATTGATCATAATCTGATTTGGAAAGTTTTAATAAACAACAAAAAAATTGTTCAGATTGAAATAAAACGTCATGGACTTTATAACCTTGGCAACTGCAACAACAAGAACAGGAAATAACTGCAAGCACAAAAAAATGACAGCTTGAAAACATCAATTTAACAATCATTAATTTTTTAACTGAAGTTTAGTATTTTCTTTTTGTAATCAAATAGAATTGCTATAGAATTGTAATAATAACGTCATCTGATAAAATATCTAGACGACTGAATATCTAGACGACTGAAAAATGATGTCAGGTGTTATTGTAAAAATATACCAACAAATATTGAAACAGATATTATCTGGAGGAGAAGCTGCATATTTCAGCTTGCCTCTTTTCCTCACACGCGCCTACACAGACACGCATACATACACATAAATGTATAGTATATATATATATATATATATATATATATATATATGTACAAATTTACTTGCATACAAACAAATGCAAGCATTCCTCTAGATCCACCAGTACATAAAAAACGTATGTCATTCAGCAAATGTGCATTCAAGTGCGTCAAGTGCATGTTAATGACTCTATGCATGTGTGTATGTGCGCGCGCGTGTGTGTGTGTGTTTAATCTCTTTCTTGAGTTTTTATTTGTTAAATAATAAATTCAATCAGATAATGCTTTTTTGTTGTTTATCGTTATTTTTATAAATTTGAATATTTAAAAATTTGTATGCCGTGTTTTTTACATCATCATTTTGGCAAATTATTTTCGGTTTTAAACATGATAAGGATCTTTAAAAATGAGCAACCTCAAATGATAACCATCTTCAAATTCTAGTTTTAATTGTTTGTCATTTCAGTTATTTGCTACACATTTTTACCATGAAATGTAGTATGGTTTGAAACTTAATGCATTCCTTTATGAACTATTATTGAACTATTATTGAACTATTATTGAACTATTATGCTACTTTATAATAGGCAGAAAAAAAAGAAAAAGTTTGTCAAATAATCGTAAAAACATTTTGGACCTGCCACAGCGCATGAAATACTTTTCTGAAATTTTTTTGTAAAAAAATTTGTTAGTTGGCAAATTTAAAAAGTGTGTCGTCCTTTTTATCAAAAGTTTCGTACAACACTCCAGATAAATTTATGTTCCACGCATTAAAATACGAACTTGTTTAAGCTAATGGTTAGTTTTTATTTATTTTTTTTATTACTGATAATATAATATTTTTGTTTTCGGAACAAATGAAAATTAAGCTGCATGTTTCTATATTTATCAGCATTTTCAACAGCTGATTATATTCGCAAGATGATAACATTTATTTGCAATAATTACATAATAACTTGCTATACACTGCTTCAAATATTTATGATCATTTTTTTCAGCAACAAAACTATTTGCTCACATTGAAAAATCCAATATCAAATGTTTACAATATATACACAAACATTCAAACATTTTAGAAGCGACTTCCGTTCTTTTCTTTAGTAGTAGCAATATAGTTGTTTTGAACTGCTGATATTCTTCCATCTCTTCAGGAACGTTCATGATTTTTTGTTGTAGCGTTTTCCAATCAGTCACGAATGTGTGAAACTTTTATATTCATATCACTCCATCCATCTTCCAGCAAATAACGCCACAACAATTTTTTAATTTTGGGCAAGAAACGAAATTCTGTAGAAATTATCAAGCATATTCATTAACACACGCATACAACACAAACACTATATATATATATATATTATATATATATATATATATATATATATATATATATATATATATATATATATATTATGTTTAATATATTATATTATGTTTAATTTTGTGTTATTTTATATTTTGATGGCGCTTTTGAATTTTTACTAACTAGCGCTAGATAAATCTTTTGATAATAATAATAATAATTATATATAAACTTGTAGATATATATATATATATATATAACGCTTGAAATGGTCATTATAGAAAATAAAATATTAAATAAAATAACGTTAAGCGTCGCACCATTTTAGAAAATTATATAATTGAATGATCTTCACGATGTTAATGCTGTTTTTGAATTAGTTGAACTGAAATTTCCCTTAGATGAGCAACATCTAACTTCTCTGACACCAACAAATTGGTGATGCCATCGTCCTCACAACCAACTTTTAGATCACAGTAGTACCTCTGTGCTGGTTCCAAATGATCAACATGTCGACAAGTTTATTAAAAAACGTTTTAGAGAAAGTAACATATAATCCATTTTTAATTCTGTTGTTGATGACATTCATAAAGAAGAAAAGTAAAAACCAGGAGTTTATTATAAGAAAAAATTATAAAGTTTATTAAAAATAACCTAAATGGTTTTCATTAAAGTAAACTTTAAAAAATTGTTTACAACATTTAAAACAGAAATAGCAAACAAATTAACAACAATAACAATATGCGTCTTAGTACCATTTATAATAAAAATAAAAGAAGAAAAAAGAAATTTTCTGTTTGGCGTCTGTGCTTTGTGATCTCATTTGTATGCTTCGCTGGTACCGCGTCAACATCAACAACATCAGCACTAACCACCCACAACAGAAACTACAACAACAGCAACATAAGCAACAACACAAACAACAACACAAACAACAACAACACAAACATCCATATCCACTTTGCCCAAAGAGACAACTGGACGAGGACTAACAGCAGCAAAGATACCTTCATTAACAACGCCAGCAATGAAACAACATTTGTTAGCTTAAAAGAAAAATCTTCCATAAATAAAAATATGTATTTTATAAAAAATAATTTGTCTAGTAAAAACACTTTCGACAAAAATATTTTTGTTGGCAGCAAAACAGAAAGCACGCAGAGAATGGTTAGCGCATATTACGATCGATTATTTAATTCCTACTCTGAGAACATCTTGAAAATTTTTAAACATTACGACGAGCACCAATTTCTCGAAGTGCCAGAAATTCCACATCAACATTGGCGACGGTATTTGTCGACGACAAGCAAGAAAAAAAATCATCCATCTTATTTAGGGAAGCGACAGATGATTCAATCGAAACACTCAGAGTTCTTAACAGAAAAAACACAAACTAATCTGAACTATGGAAACTGTGGAAATTTTCATCGGCAATCTGCTAGGGTACACAAATTTTCTAACAATATTAAAAACGACAAATTTAATTATACCGACATGTTGCTACAAAATACGTTCGCGTCAAAAACTCCTTTCGAATTAGTTTCCATAAATTTATTGCGGTTGCTTTTATACAAATATAAATCACGTTATATACCTCTGTGCTGTAACCTGCAACATGAACTTCATTACAATTTGAGACAATTGAGTTCGCGCACACAAACTCACCATTTATCATCACCTTCGCAACAACTCTTCGTGTTTTATGAACAAAAATCGCCTTCCAGACGTTTCAAACGTTCGAGTAGTCAGATGATGTCATCGAAGTTGTTGAAAGAACAACGCCAACACACGAAGGTTTATCAGCAGATGGAGCCACAACGCAAGCGACACGCACTTCGCAACATGCAGCAGCCTCCGAAAGTGATCGACCTGCACTACAAAACGGATGAGGAGCAGCCTGCAAATACGTACGTCGGCAGCCTCAAGCGTGACGCCAACTTGGATCGATTTTACAGTTCCAACATAACGTCGTTACTGCAGTACAAATTCCTTAAACGGCAATCTAACCTCTTCACTCTCAACGCGCACACAGGTGTTTTGAAAACTGCTGTGAAAATAGATAGAGAGACGGTCTGTCCTGTTCGAATGGACGTTTGTAGCGTCAAATTGGATGTGGCCGTCCAACCGATAGAATACATAAAAATTATTCGAGTAGTTGTGGTGATTGTTGATGTGAACGACCACACTCCATCATTTGCATCGCCCGTTCTTGAATTTGAAATTAACGAAAGCACCGCTCCAGATTCCGCCTCACTCGTGTTGCCACCTGCTGTTGACCCCGACAGTGCAGAGTTCACGGTCAAGGTTGGTAGGGTTAGAATTGTTGATTATGAATAAAAAAATAATTTTAAATAAAAAGCGCCTGCATTTTAAGGACAAATGGTGGTGAAAAAAACGTAAATTGTGCAACCACTGTAATTGAAGTACATTTTAAAAATTTCTTTGTTTTATTGACCATATTGTAAGCTCCCAAAAAGAAGGAACATAAAATATATCGTATTATATTTTTTATAAAAATCTCAACTTTTCAAACAAAATCAAACTCAATAACTTTATTGCAATTTAATTGCACACTAATTTACCTCTCAAACAACTCAAAACTTCATTTTCTTAGTTGAAACATTAAATTTATTCAACCTTTTCAAAAATTTAACACTGTACATTTGATTCAAAATATGAACAATTTCATAATGATGACGTAATATTTTTGATTTAACGGTAACAGAAAATTTCAGAACACATGCGAACAATCATATCACCTCCAGGATTATGAACTTTCAAATTATGATGGCGACAAAGATGCTGTCTCTGCTTTCGAACTTAACAAAATTCAGACCAACACTGCAATTTCAAAAAACAGTTTGTCGCCCTCCCAATTGAATTATTTTGACGTCGACTCTGAAATTGATACTAGCCCTGCATTCAACGTTAAAATAAAAGTGACGAAAAAGTTAGATCGAGAAGTTAAATCTGTCTACCATTTGGTGGTAAGCGCCATTGATGGTGGAGGCAAACGAGGCAGCGTCAAAGTTGTCGTCAATGTCATCGACGCCAATGATAACATTCCTACTTTTGAACGCACGCACTATGAAGTATCCATCAAAGAAAATGTACCCATAGGTTATCTCGTTGAAACTGTTAAAGCCACCGACAAAGATGATGGTTTGAACGCTGAAATAATTTACTCGCTAGAGTCGGGCGGAGTGGTGACCAGGTCAAAAAGCAAAAAAAATATTGGTAATATTTTAGGTTCAAAATCATCGTCGTCCCCATTTTCATCACCATTTTCATTTTTATTATCCTCGTCATCATCATTCTCATCGTCATCTTCATCATCATCCTCATCATCGGCGTCCTTGTCATCATTGTTGCCCTCGACACCTCTCTTAACAACCTCATCAGTTGCTGCCAGCATCAAACAATTTAATGCCGAAAATAATGATAAAAATGGAAAAAGCAAAAGATTATTAAAGTCTCAGAACATTGAAAATGTTTGGTACAAACATTCACCTGCACTCGTTACATCGTCTTCGTCTCCCTTGCAATTGTTGTCGGCGCTATCAGGCTCGTCAAAATCTTATAAACGGTTTAGTAGGGAGGTTGACTGGTTCAAATCACCGTCGCCATTTCGATCGTTCGCGACAACAGCATCGTCATCTGTGGCACTACCGTTTCAAATAGACAACAAAACTGGAGCAGTCTTCACGTCCGGTGTCATTGACTTTGAGGAAGTTATAATGTACCGCTTGATAATATCGGCTCGTGATATGGGACCTGACGCTGTTCAAGTAAGCGTACCACTCACTGTCTATATTGAAGATGAAAATGATAACTCGCCGGAGATATCCTTTCACACGCTCTCTTCAAGACCTGGAGAAGCAGAGGTCTCGGAGAACATGAAAATTGGCACGTTTGTGGCTTATGTTTCAGTTTTCGACGCTGACCATGGTTTGTTAAGCTTATATTTTTATATTCATGTCTTTTTTTATTTATACGCATCAAGGTCGCTTAAAGTGGGTCGGCTGGAAACGCTTCAATTTATATGACTTGCGTAACATGCGAGTTAGACCATTTAGTTTTTATAGCATATTTTTTATTACTAAATAATTTTATTTTGTATTATTCAAGTATTAAAATTTTTATTTAAAAAAACCTATCACCAAATGGTTCCATTTTGAAACTCGTTCAATTTTTTATAACCAGTGCGTTTTAATGAAAATTCAATAATGGTGATTATAAGAGATACGTTTAAATAATTAATTTGTACTCGTGTACAAACCAACAAAAAAGTTACAAATTAAATAATTTAAATATTGTCTAAAATTCGAATCGTTGAAAAATACCCAAATCAAGCGCACTTAGCTAAGATGAACTCACTTAGTTGGGATAGGATAATTTTTCACAAAATCAACTTTTAGTAAACTTTAACATTTTTGGATCACAGAATTAAACCCATCTTACATTTTTTATTACTTCGATAAATCAGTTACAGTTTTATGTTGCTTTCGATTGTTTATAACTGGCAAATTCGCTCAACCACCAACGTCAAACTGTTTTTATAACGCAAAAGTGGATCAGTTACCAGCTGGTGATCGTGGGATCAGTTGCTAACAGGGAATCATTGGGTTAGTAGCCAGCTGGTGATTGTGGGATCAGTTTCTAGTTGGTGATCGTGGGAGGATTTCAACTTTCTCGTATCAAATTAAAGACGACGATATGCAATCCAAGTTGTGACATAATAAACATATATAATAAACAATTACTTTCGCAATATTTTTTCAAAGAAATCAATTCAGTAATCTATTTAAATTTAGTAATTGAATAATATATAATTTTTATATTTATATAATTGTATATTTTATTTCATATATTTTAATAATTTTATATTTGAATAAATAATAAATGCTTCTAATCTGGTATATTGAGCGCAATTAATTTTGCATGAGTAGTAATCATTAGAATAAATCCACATTTATATTTTTAATGAATTTGTATTCTAAAATTATTTTAACATGGTTTAGACAGTTCAATATTTTTTTAATGCAGAAAATTTTGGCAGATTCAATTGTTCCATTAAGCTGGTAAGTTTGCAGCGAGGAAGCCAGCATAAAGATGAATCAATTAGAAGGAACATGTCGGTCCTGGCTGACGACGATGTTGTCGGTTCTGACTGGAGCGATGCGTTCTTCATTCTGAAGAAGATGAACAACAGGGAGTTTCAAATTTTGACGGCAGCCGTTTTCGATTACGAGAAAATAAGAGAGTTTCATTTGAGCTTCATATGTTCCGACAATGGAGATGTCCCAAGAACGTCCTCGCAAGCTCTCAAGGTCAACGTCACAGACCTCAACGACAACAGTCCTCAATTTTCAAGCCAAGTAATCATATCTCTGCAATAATAATTTATTTGTTGTTGTCGAAAAATAATCTTTTGTATCCAATTAAATATTTTTTGCACAGTTGATTATTCAGATATTTTATAAAATGTTATTTAAAAATCCCTGATACATATATAAAACGCGGTAGTGAATATTTTTATATAAAAGAACTCATGAGATGTTTGTAATTTTTATGGCAACTACAGAAGTATAGGGTTTCCGTTAAAGAAAATAACGAAGTGGGCAAGCAGATCATTCAGCTGGCAGCTTCTGATAGGGACTCCAATTTGAATGCGGTTATAACTTACTCTCTGACCATCGTAGATGATGATAAGGATAACCATGGAAGTGTAAAAAACATCAATGTAAGAACAAGTTGGACGTTTCAACTTTTTAAAAACTTATTAATAATTTAATAATAGATTTAAAGAATTTTTGTTGCCATTTTTATTTTGTGGTTATTATTTTTAATTTTTTTTTTAATTTATTTATTTATTTTATTTTCAAAAAATATTTTTTGAAAAAAAGGTTTCCCAAAGCATGAAATGCCATGTTAGTGTTCCTAAAAGGTAAAAGGGCTACTCAAACAGAAACAAACACGTCATTTGAAACTGATAGAATCGATTGAAACCACGCCCATAGTGGGCAACCAAGTGCAAAAGAGAAACAACAAACAGATTAAACCAAAAAAATACAAATATAAAACATAAAAAGCATTACAAAACAAAAATAGTAACAACATCCATGAAATAAATTGTAATAAAATTAAAACCAAAATGATAAAAGTAGCTGCAATATTGTTAATTAGAAAAAAATTGAAAACATAAATTGGATCCGTGAGACGCACCTGGAACCGATCCCCGCACCACCTCTTCCCAATACCAGCTACCCACGCTCGCCAGGAGAGCCAGCTCAAACAAGCAAGGCCGTAACTGAGCGATTTCTCAACCTAATACTGATTTACTAATTTATTTAATGGATCAGAAATATTTGTGAAAGAAACACGCAGCCATGGCATCTACCGATTTAGTCAGCCCGCTCAGACAGCATGCAAGACCGCCATCACGCAGATGCATCGCGCAGATGCAGAGCGGCAACTAACCCAGAAAGCGTTCCATGAAACGGATAAACAACAAAAAATGTTAATATTAAAAAAATATTTAGTAAGATTTGGGCATTTCAAATTTGCAAGTAAGGCATGATAACAACTACAAAAAATTTGAAATATATTAAATCGGTGAAAATATTTGTGGTCCAGAGTAAAAATCCTAAGGGGAGCGAAGTAATAATTAAAAGGATTAAAAAATTGTTAAATTAAATATAGTCTGATAATAATGGATAGTTATGTCATTGTTATAACCGCCAGAATGATCAAATTGCGCTATATTATTATCTTAATTATTGTTATTTTTGCTATATTTGTAATCTTTGGATAAAGGATCATAAAAAAAATGTTCGTATTTTTTGGTCGTAAAAATCTACCGTTGAAACTATATGTAGGTCCTGCGTAGATAAAGAACGTCAGTCAGGTCTTCAGCAGAAAAAGCGAAATCGTAAAGGTGATATATGTAGTTACTTGGATTAGTTTAGTGTCTTTATTACTGTTGGTATTCAAATAAGCGTTCAACAAAGCAGTTGTGTTTGAAGCAGTTTGAAGCAGCTGTGTTCATCTATCGGAAATCTTAAACCTACAAAATAACAAACACTTGACGATTGTTGGAAGATACAACATTGGTGTTGGAAATATTGGGATCATTGAAGTTATAACATTAGCGTTGGTAATTACGAGCGTTCAAGGGTACAACATTGGTGTCAGAAGTAAGATTTTTGATAACTCGAAACTTCTTGCAATAGAGATTGCTGGCACTAAATACAAACTCAATACAACTTGTCTGAGAAAAAAAACTATGACAACGAAACCTCGACTCGAAAGGAGTGAGAAAGTTTTGATCAACCGCCTAAGAGACGCTCTAATAAAAAAAAATCGATCCGGATGAGTTCGATTTTTCGGATTATGTGAAACAACGGTATGCCAAATTAAAAGCCAAAATAAATAGAAGATTCATGAGCAGACAGCTAAACTAGATAAACGGACGGCCATATTACGAACAGCCAATGGAAAAGCATCAGCTAATAGAGTGTCAACTGAAAACAACTCAGGAATAAATTTGGATAGCAAACTGGAGGAAAGACAAATGTACATGACCAAACAAGAAACAACCGTATGAGATTCTGACATCTTACCAGCTTATTCAACTACGTAAAATTATATTGGTGATCGCAAGCCTATCCTTCCTACGGTGTTGACATGAAGAAAGGTAACTGTCATCGTAATGATGAAGTTGACGACGAAGACGACGATGAAGATTTTAAAAATATTGGAAAAGTTAGCAGTGACAAAGACATGAGAACATTTGATATGCAGTGGGACTACCATTTGGATCTTGCTGCCAGCAACTCGCCTGCTTTCCTTTCTAACAGCGACAACAGTGATTTAAAGGTTAACGATGTCCTTGAGGTTGATGTTAATGCGAATATTCATTCCGGACAAGAATCGGTGACAGACGATGATTCAAGTTTTGAGATAACGCCTCCAACATGAACCTGGAAAAAAGCTTGGCTCTCTTCTACCTGGATGATAACATCAAGGACGGCTTCATGAGGATGAGATTTGCAGTTGTGTCCATCTATAGGAAATCTTGAACACTTGACGATCGTTAGAAGTTTCAACACTGGTGCTGGAAATATAGAGATCATTAAAGTTATAACATTAGTGTTAATAGTTACGAGCGTTAAAGGTACAACATTATGTATTACAAATTGAAAACGTATAATAATATAAGTCAAATTAAAAAATCAAAGAGTTTATATTGAAAATTTATTTTGGGTTCAGTAAAACAAGGTCAGTGTGACAGCCAGTAAAAATAATTGTTTAAAAATATTTGATTGAAAGAAGGAAAAGTTGGTAAAATATAACTGTAAGAAAATAATTAAATATTGAAAACAGAACCACATTTTCCGTTTGGAAGATTAGTTGTGTTAATGCAAACTAAAATATTAAAAATGTTCATTAGGAAAAAAAATTGTTTGGATAACAATAGCCATCCATATTTTAATACATTTTGGAACTGGCAACAAATAAATTCTGTTGAACATATTTTTAATGCATTTTAGTTGATAACGTTTAAAAAGGAATGTTTATTTAGAACAATTTGTGACCGAAATTGAATAAAAATTAAACTAAATTCATAAACTATATGTATATTATTAAAATACTGAAACAGATCAATGTTATATTTATCAAAAATAAAATAAATTTTGATGTTGAGAAAGGTAGCACTAATTTTTTAAATGTCAGTTTTAGGCTTATTTTATCTAAGCAGCTGCAATTCATACACAAATTTGTTTATATTATCCTCACCAACACTACCCCCTCCCACTAACACCATCACCACCACTACCAACCCCACCCCCACTACTACTACCACCACCACCACCACCATAACTACAACCACCTCAATCACTACCACCATAAGGTCAAAGCAATGCTTATTTTGTAATCAATATTTTTCTTTCGGTTTGAAAACTGCGTAAAATGTAAAAAAGTTTAAAAAAAACTAGTTAAAATGTTGAGTAGAATTAATCAGTAATCAATAAATAAAGGAAGCCGGTTCATAGTGTAAATCGTTGTTGTTGTTTCGTCGACTGGCTGGTTGTTTGTCGTCATCATTGCCCTTCGTTACAAATTATTTGATTTCGAACCATCGTCATATTGTAGAAGGAAGCGCCTGCAAACAGCATCTCAGAGGATGCGGTCTTCTTGATCAACAACGAAACTGGCCTCATCACCGTTGCCGCTTCATTGGATCGTGAGAAACAAGACAAGTACCTATTGGAGGTTACCGCTCAAGACGGTGGTCAGCCGGCCAAGTATGACGTGGCGTACGTGCATGTCACCGTGCAAGATGTCAATGATGTCAGACCCGCCTTCCAACTCAAATTCTATAGCTTCAACATCATGGAAAATAAAGAAGCGGGTAATTATTTCGTTTCATTTGTTCAACCTAATTTCATTTGATACAATTTTTATTTAATTTTTACCTTTTTTAATTAATTTTTTGTAATTTATTAAATCTTATAAATTAACTCATTAATTTATTTTTTTTTATTCTTATGTTGGTTGATTGATTGATTGATTGATTTTATTATTAGTTCGTTTGTTTGTTTGCGGATTTTTAAAATGTAGCAGTGGAATTTTAGATCTGGTACTAAATTTGTGTCAGCTCTAGTGATGTTTCATTTGGTGTGCTATATTAATATATTTTGTAGACTATCCTAAAACTAAATAAAATTTTTATAACATGTCCAGATTTAATTTTTGATTAAAATTAATTTTATAGTTTCTAACAATTGCTATATGTGCGGCAAGTTTTTAAATTCCAAAGCAAAGTTGACATATAGAAGTGCAATTAAAATGTAACTTCACGAATCACAATTTCTCCCTCATGTCCACTGAAAAAGAGCTTGTGGACAAAAGTGTTTTAAAAAATGTAGGCCTACTGATTATTTTGCCAGCCTGATAAAATGTTTTAATTTTAAATTTCGAGCATCTTGGCACAAATGTGCGTTATCGTAAACAAATTTAGTTTGGCGGTTTATTAAAAGTGCATTAGTAAGACATCAATGCTCCTCCAACTTGCATTTTATAATGATGAAATCTCTTTCTGCAGTTAAACATCATGACTTAACTTCCAAAGCTAAAAAAGCAGCTAGTATCAAGTAAATTTGTTTTTCAACACGTTTTTACTTCACATATAACCAGTCTAATCTTTATAATCCAACATTACAAAAAGAAGTGATGTTAAAGTTGAAGTCTGCGAAAGTGTTACATCACGGAACGCTACAAAAAATTTCATCGGTGCTGGATGAATACCGACTTATGAAAAAATCGTCCAACAAAACAACGGAACTGCTTGAAAATTTATTTTATGAGCTTGAAAATTAATTTTATGAGCTTGTGTGTGTCTTTTCATGAAATATTGAAATATGATTTTTTTGGTTATTTTAGATTTGGTAGACCTGTTTATCTATTTCTAGTTGCATAAATAGTTGACAAATTCAGCACAGAAGTGACACCAGCAGAATGTTTAATTTTTGTAGATTTATCTATTCCTTGAACTGAAGACTTCAAAATTTATCAATAAACATTTAACTAATTGATTTTATAGTGATAACATAATGAAATAATTAATCATTCAAATGCGTGACTTTTGCTTTAACCTAACTATTGATTAAATGGATGAACTAAAAATTGATAAATTGAAAAGAAATTTATTGACCGCGATCAATTATCAAACTTTTTGAATATTGATTAACTGATGGACGGGTGAATAAATGAATAAAATAACCAACTGACATGCCAAACCATTTGAAGATTGTCTTATGAAGCCATCTTTAAATAATTTCACATCAGAATCGATGGTTGGACAAGTGCATGCCACGGACAGGGACGCTGACCACAACGGATTCGTCAGGTACCAAATTTGGCCGACCAACAACTCTCTACCTTTCTCAGTAGATGACCTCTCTGGAGTCATCAAAACAACTTGCGCTCTCGACCGGGAAGATGTACCCAAGTACAGGTGCAAGAATGTTTCTGCTTTGTTCGCAACATTTTCAATGAACTGCAAATTATAAGCTGGTTTTTTATTTGATTGGGATTATAGATGTTTAAGTTAAAATTTAAACATTTTTAGGTTTCATGTTATTTAATTGGCTGTTGTTCTATGGCCGCAGTACAATTGAATTAATTCTGTTTTCAATTCCGAAAAATGTTTTCAAATTTGATAATGGTAATTTTTATGTTTTTTATTTTAATTCACTTCTTTTCAATGTTTTCACAAATTCCGATGTTTAACACTTTCCAATGCTAAAATATGTACAAATCATTTTAAAAATTTTTTTATTATTTGTTTCTATTTGTTTTAGTTTATTAAAACAACGGCTTAATTAACAATCGAAATATAATAATATAATTAAAAATTAAATTTAATGTCACAATTAGAAATCGAATTTAATTTGCGCTAAAGAACTTAATTTGAAACTTCCAAAAGATTCGTCGTAGCAGCTGTGGACTTAGGCTCGCCGTTCCGTCTGACTGGCAGTGCGGACGTCGTCGTGCATGTTGACGACCTCAATGATAATCCTCCGCAGTTTCTTCCTCCCGAGCCCGTCAACTCGTACGGCCTGCTTTCAAATTATAACTTGCACTCCATTGAAGAGGATGACGGCGATAATGATGAAGAAAATGATTTTTTCTCGCAAGAGAGATCAAAATCATTTTTATCGTTTTTTGCTAACACTACTAAGAAAGTAGCTGCGAGCGAAAATAATCGTGAATTGAACCAGTACAAGTTGAACGAGGAAAATATGAAAGCTCACAACAGAACCTACCTCCATAAAAATAATTTGTTCTACGTTTCAACAAGCGTTCAACGCAACGATGTCATCGTACGAGTCGTAGCCAGCGACCTCGACAGTGGTGAGAACGGGCGAGTAACTTACGAAATTATATCGTGCATTGAAACTGACGATGCTTCGTTGAAAAATCATAACCAAATAACAACTGAAGTTGGCAGCATTTTTAGTAGCAGTAATCAAAACTTCACTGTAAATAGTCTCTACGATAGTTTCACTAATTTAATTGCAGATATCTGGCGTATAAATTCGACGGAAAGATCATTGAATAACGCCAAATTTGATAATTCTAGTGACGGAGAATCAATCGTTTATAATTTCAATAGCAAACGTCGTAACATCAACCATCACGTTGATAGCAATAATAACGCTAGTAGTAACAGTTTAAATGATTTTGGTAGCAAAAATAATAACACGAATGCTGGCAAAAGTTTCGAAAATAAAATTAAATTGAACGATGTTCAAATGAAAAGCGTTTATGTGAACACTAGCAAAATTAAATCAAGTGCCTTAAGAAATAAAAGATTTGATAAAAGTAAAACTACAAAGGATCGTATAAAAAAAATTATCAACAAACTGAACAAGAGATCTGATGCTGCTGAAAATTATATTGACGGTGGTGACATTCTTAGTAGCGAGGAAGACAATGATGTTGAAGTTTACAAAAATATGTTAATCAACGAAACTGTTTACTCAATTAAAAATAATTTCAAATCTCAACATTTTAAGCAGGTTGATGATGAAACGGCCGCTGCAAACTTCACGAATATGTTTGAAAATAATAAAATAAATGTATCTGACCTCATGCTAACATCAAATTTATTTGATCGACCCCTGATTAATTTAGAACAACGTCTCCAACATGAATCTGCTTGGCCTGCGCCCTCCTCGCTGTTTCAGTCGCCATCATCACAGTCGTCACATGCACCCACATCATCATCTTCAACTTCTACATCATCATCAACGTATCCGTCTACATCATCATCATCATCATTGCATCCATCTACATCGTCATCAGCACATCTACCTTCATCATCGTCAGTAACAGCAAGTGTCATCGCCTCGCCACAATCGAGTCAGCAGACGCCGTTCGATGTTCGTTACGATACAGGTTTATTTTTTTATTATTTTTAAGCGTTCTGAACCATTATTTTTAATTTAAAACAATTTTCCATCCTATTTTATTTTTGTTTAATATTTGATTACCTACATGTACATCGGCATGACTGACAAACACAGAGCTAGCTGCTTACTTATCTCTCATAATTTCTTTGCGAAATTTCATTTTCTTCGCTACAAGATGTTCTTTCCTATGCGGCACCAACATTGCGTGTAGGCTCCTAGGAAGCGCACCAAAGACACGAGGCAGTGTGTTAGTTTTCCAGTTTTGTACAGTGTCTTCAAATGGGGTTAAATTATTTAATGAGAGTGTCCTACTGTAGTTTTAACTATTCTTTCACCAACACCTACGTTTTTACAGTCAACTTACACGTAAATCAAAGAATCAATATGACGAAGTCTAACCAAACCATTTTAAGAAAAAGTATGGCATTCTATTCAATCAGCCAGTTCATTACCAGTTATTTACGATTTCTTTAAAATTCAGAATGATTTATTACTTGCAAGTTATAAACCACCCACTTCTCTTTTATTAGCAACAAATGGAAATTTTTTAAATGGCCTGTTCAGCTTTAAATTATTTTTGTAAAGTTATCTAACAATCGGTCTTTATGCTGTTGCAGCATCCGAAACTAAATCATTTTTTGTATGACTTTAAAAGATGCGGTTAAAATTAATTCCAATGTTAGAACGTTAAAAATCATTTTATAACATTTTGTGGAATAAAAAATTGAACCAATAACTAACTAATTTTTTTCTGTTACTTTATAAAATACTTGAATAATTATTCAATGAGCGAATGTGTTTTAAGTTATTCATTGGCAATAAATGATTTTTTAATGGTGATTCACAAACTTTTAAAACGACATCAAATGGATAACTTGGTTATTCCATCCACACACCAGGGGACATATTTGTTTCCATTGACAGTCTGCTGATCTACCACGGCAAACAGTATGAACTGACCATCTTAGCCAGTGACCACGGCAACACCAGTCTGTCTGCTCTAATTATATTGCGCATTTTCGTCAACGAATCGTACACGCGAACAGGCCACTTAATCGTTAAAAAGGAAGATGTTCACTTGAAAGTCGTCATCGCATTCTTCTGTGGTCTGGCATTAGTAATATTTGTTTTGTTGTTTGTTGCAACGTGTCATTGTCGGAGGAAACAACAACTTTGCAGAGACAAGTACGCCATTGGAAACAGTGCTTGCAGCAACGTTGACGTTAATTTGAGAGATAAACAAAGAAATGACGAGAGTGGTAGTGATGTCATCGATGGCTTCGACCCCACGTTAAACTCACTGAAATCTCAACAGTTGTTATTATTAAAAGCTCAAAAATCACCACAACAAGTTCAACAGTCATCGCAATTAAGAGATTCCAGATGCAGCAAGGACAAGGATGATGCCACGACCTTATCTCCTTTGCTTGATAAAACGAGTTGGAGACTGGACGTTAACAAAGAAACAATTTCGTCGGAAGAATGGGAAAATATGATAGGCATGTCAAATTTGGACGATTTAAACGAAAACACAGATTTTAAAAATTTATCATTTGCCTGCTTTAAAAATTACGAACGCAAAAATTTTTCATCCGCGCATAGTTCTACTTTCAAAAGTAAAAAAACTGCTAGAAAAATAGACGAAGAGGATGATGTTGACGAAGATAGCAACGCAAACAACATGAAGCATGAAACAAAAACTGGAACCTGCGCCGACGTAAGTTATTTTAATATTTTCAGCCATGTATTTTTCATACAATTAGATTAAGCAAAATATTTTCCAAACAATAAAAAATGTTTACACAAAGTTAAAAATGATGCAAATCAAAATTTGTCTGTTGTTGTAAATTGTTCTATCATAAATATTTTGACTAACTAATAATTAAATATTAGTTTAAAAAAAGAAGAAAAAAGTTTCATTTTTATTTAAATTTTTAAATGGTTTTAAATTAAAATTTTTCATTAACAAAAATGTGCATCATCGCTACAAATGCATTTCTTGTTACGATTGAAAATTCACGTGGTGAGAGTTTCAAGAAGAGTTAATCGGTTTTAGTGATTCTTTTTAAGAGCAGCATATGTTCTAATTTTTTTAATTCAAAATTTTGGCCAATAGGCCATTACACAATTTTGTCATACATACCAGTTAAAAATGACTGATGTTATAAATTTTTCTAAAATTAATTTAGTTTATTGTTTCACGTTCTAGTAAAGATGAAAAACACAATTGGAAACCCGCTATATAAATTACAGAGATTGGTTGATTGATATTAGCGGTCTTGCTGCTATACACCTTGAAATCTTTTATTTTTAATAATGATCTATATTGTTATAATACTCGCTGTCGTAACCGATTTACGATGCGACGGGTTCGAATCTTCGATTGAATAAAATACTCCATTAATAAACTTTATTTACAGAAGAAATCAACTAATCGTTTATTTCTAGCAAATTCAAATTAACACAACAACGTCAACAAAACAAATCAAATATCGCTTTAAATAATTCACCGAATCGCTATTTACAAAATCACAGAGTCACGAATTTACAAAATCACGAATTTCACTAATCGCTAATCTTCTTGCGACGTGCGCTTTTATACTCTTCGCAAGCGTCGTTTCTAGATTTTTCTAGATGGTCCGATTCTAGCATATTCTAGAATGTTCTAGTGCGTTCGGTAGCACGGTTATAACAATATTAACAAGCTTTGTTTAATATTTAATCAATCAATCGATTGATCAATCGATCAATTAAGTTTAAAAATATTTTTAAAAAACCGTTTGAACGTTTTAATTTTTGTCCATTTTTATTGAATTCCCACTTAAATCCATTTTGCAAATTGAACAACATTAGAAATCATGGAGGCAAGCCTCCCAAACAATCCACACACTCGTTTATGTCCGAGCACTTGAAGGTGATGCTGGTAGTGATGAGAGTAATGACAGGGCGATGATATATAGTTGAGCCACGAATTAACTTGTCCTTGCAACAGCGCAAAACGTGATGATTAATTTCTTTATCTCATTCAGCCGCACAATTGTTAATAAAAAAATTTCAAAGTATTAATTTATGTATTTTTATATTTTTTACGAATTAACATTTAATGATTTACTCATAAACTGACATAATGTGAATGTTGGACGCAAAATATTTTCCCGGTTCAATTTTATTTTGGAATTTTTTAACATGCAAGTGTGAAGGCAACCCATTGGCGTTGCAAGCAATGGTTTTTGGTAACAACAAATATTTCTATCATTAGTTAACTAAATGTAAAAATAAAAAAACAATTTTAAACAACGAAAATAAAAAATACAATATATGCAAACACAACTTTGTCAAAATTTAAGATAATTGATTGCACGACAGTTGAGACTTCAGAAAAAGACTTGATAATGCAATATTATTTCATCATCCGTAGATGTTTGCAGCAGATTTTTCTCTGCTGCGATTATCTCCACTCAGATAAATATGATAATCATCTGAAGAGAACAGTAATTTTAATAAGTACCAAGACAACTGATGAAGAACTTTGAGTGGATTTATATAACCGCAGTTGTGCCAATTGTTAGCAGCTGTCGTTTGAACTTCTTTATATGCCATGATATTGTCGACTTACACTTACGTCTTCCATTACATCAACGTCATCATCTGTTTTATCCATTTATCTTGGCGAATAATCTTGCGACAACCCGGCTGCAAACAATTGCAAACTAATTTCTGAACTCATTGTTTTCAAAAAATTATTTGGCTAAAAATTTAAAAGAAAATTTAAAAGATGCAAAGGCCGAAGGCGAATCTAATATTATCTTAATTAAAACAGACAAAAAAGTTTGGCTCCACACATAAAATTAATGAAAGTGAATGCGATTTTAATTAATTCGTAATAGTTTAAATTTTTTAAATGTATAAAAATGAGCGCGGCGTAAAATATGTTTTTAAACTGTTTAAAAAGCTGGTTTGTTCGGTTGAAATGTTATTTAAAAATCCCCAGCTTAATATGGGGAAATTGCCTACTCCCTCTTATAATGTAATGTAAATACCTATTTAAATACAAATTTAAATATTTATTAAAAATGGGGATTTTGTTATTCCAAGATGAATTTGTGACCAAAAAAAATAAGGATGTTCAGTAAATAAACGCGCAATAAAAGGATTTAAATTATGGGAACCAATAAAATGAGGGGCGAATTATTTAAAAAATAATAATTAAATACGAGCTGGCATACATAAAACGACAATAATTTATTACAATATAAAAATCAAAATGGACGATAACAAGTTACGACGGCTCTCCATCTATGCATTCCCGCATTCAATGCACCTATCATTGTGTTCGACTCAATCTTGTGTAGATACTATTAATATTATAATATTAATTAACAGACGCGGATAATGAATGGAAAGTAAAATTTTTTGACCCAATTGCTTCTATGGTGGTTTTGGATCGTGAACCAATTGTCGTACAGAATGCTGAAAAAAGCAGAAGATTTTGTTGAGAAGAATTTTATAAAAGCGTGCGATGCGAACATGCCTCGAAAACATTATATGAAGAAGTCCTCATCGGTTTATTGGTGGAATGAAAACATCAGCACCCTTCGAAAAGAATGCCTAAAAGCGAGAATAGCATCACAACACTCATGTAAAAAACCTAATTATGTAGATAATTTCATCAGTTTGTTGATTTTACACACAAATACAATTAATCAAATGTAAGGTTAACAACTTAGTTAAATTTAACATAATCGGGTAATACCGATCGCTGGGTAGCACACTTACACACACACACCTAATGTTTTTTTACAAGTTCACAACATATTTTAGTTTTTTCTAATGAAAAATGAGAATTTTTAGTATAATACTGATGTCACAAAAGGTATGTAATGTTTTTTCAAATGAATGAACTGGGGGCTACGCAATGGCTAAATTCGATATTTTAATTGAACACACAATAATTGTGTGTGTGTGTGTGTGTGTGTATGTGCGTGTGCGTGTGTGTGCGTGTGTGTGCGTGTGTGTGTGTGTGTGTCATGCGTCATGTTGATTTAATATTAATTGAATGATTGAATAAAATTTCATAAAATATTTTAAACAAGGGTCCAACACAAAAAAACAATTATGTCGTCCTAACTAAAAATCCAAAAATTTATTAAGTGCATCAAGCTTTGTCAATGGAGGGAAACCGAATATTTCAAATTAAACTATATGACTGTTTTAGCAGGTTATAGAGATGAAGAGCATAAATCATCTTCTTACGAGGTGCACTCAGAATCAAACTGAAAATGCAGCCTAAGCAAACCGATAAAACTCTTGACTCATCACTTATCAAAAATTTTAAATGCTCACTCGAATAATATAAATGCAGCAGATAACGGTTAATAGAACGGGCTTCTTGCATATTATGACCAAATTTTCAGGAACAGAATAAAATTCCAGCCAGTCAAATATAGTTTGCTTTATTGGATTAAATTGTAGATAAAATGCCACTTAATTGGACCGCAGACGTGACAGCCACAACAAAGACTACACTGCAGTTTGTTGTGCAACGTGAAATTATAATAAATTATAAGTAATTTCTATTTGAATTCTGTTGATGTCTAAAATGATATAGAACAAAATTAGAATTTATATTCACGAAACCGACCGAAATAGGAAAATTTTAAGAACTGCTATGAATTTAAAATTAAAAATTTCTTTGATTAGCATGTAAGCTGCTGAGCGCATTAAAATTTAAACATTTTTTAAACGTTGGTGTTTTGTACTCGTACGATGCCCTATACAATGAATGATGCGGTACAATTTTTGTTTATTATTTTATACAAATATTATTTAGCAATTATGTTAAATAATTTAAATGAACATTTTTAAATCATGTGCAAAACTTTTTAGTCATCATTTTTATAGGAAAACGTTTGTGCCACAAAGGCTGTAACATGCACAGCGTGCGATGTACATGCATGCATGCACACGCAGGCACTTGATCATAGGCGTAAGTTTCGTACAGGCAGTATTTGAACGCGATAACCGCGCGGTAACATTTTGAGTTTTGACGTTTTTACCATCTTAGCTTACTAGCCGAACAATTTTATACTTGCCAGAGCAAAGTCAATAACGTCGTCATCATAGGAGATATTTAGTGGCTCGTCTTAGTTTTCCACTTCCAATATACATGAGACTGAGGCGACACAATTGATCCGTGTCATGGTTCTAAAAAAATTTAGAGAGTTAGATTTTTTACAAGTAATTTGTATTCCTTATTGAAAAATGGTCTTAAAACTGTTTTTACGTTAGAAAATGCTGATAAAACACAATCACTAAATATTAATTTATACAGATCTTAATGTGTCCAACTGCAAAGGTTTTCTCAATCATCAAATTGTTTGACTTTTCCAACGTCCACATCTGACGTCCACATCTTTAGGATTTGTTTGCATAAAACAATATCTTTCGCAAATTTTTTTAGATTCTTCTTCTTTCTCGTGCGTTATCCTTTCAGGACATTGGCGACCATCGACCTCCACAAAACCCGATCTTTAACATTTTCTAATAGTTAAAATTTTGTGATATTCAATAAGTGACAAAAGAACTTTACGATTGTTATTTGTTGTTGACCACGACCTCTTTTTGCTGCAATCATTCCAGTAGTTATTAGATTTTCTATTCTTCCCTTCTGCATGGCATGATGTGACTAAAAACTTCAACTGCCCCTCTTGGATTATCTGTAGTAATTTCATCTTTTCATAACCGGACTGTTTTAATACATCCTTATTCGAAGTATGAGAGGTCCAACTAATATTCATAATCTTTCTCAAAAACCCCATCTCAGCAGCGTTAAACTTTTTCCATTTCTTTAGAAATTTTACAGGACTCAGAGCCGTAAGTTAGCACAAAAAAATGTAACATCGTAAGAGTTTTAATTTTGTTGATATTCTGATTTTACTGTTGGTGAGGATGTTTTTCATTTTAGAATATGCATCTGTCGCCATAGCTATTTTTCTTTTGGTATCCATATCACATTTACAACCTGAGGTAATCAGACTTCTGAAATAATTGAAGCTGTTGACTTGTTTCACCTGTTTACCATTAAAGAATATGGGATAGATCGGGGCGGTTTTAATTTTACTGATAACCATGAAATATGTTTTGTTGATATTAATTTGCAAGCCTTTCCTTTCACTTTCAAAAACCAATTTAGAAACAATTGTTTGCAGTTTTTCCATTGAATCTACTGCATATTTTACATTGTTAATATTCAAGCCTCCAAATAATATTCCAGGTAGATCTTCTATTTTTCCCATGTTGATCTCACTATAGAGATTGTACAGGTCTTGAGAAAATACACAGCCTTGCCTAACACCATTCTTTATTTCAATATTTTCATAAGCTCCACGTGTTTCACGCTATCAAAAGCGTTTGAGTAATCGACAAAACCTTTAAACAAGTCTCTTCATTTCAATCGCTCGTTCACTAATCATTCACAACATAAAGATAACGTTTCTTGTTCCACAATCTTCCACAAAACCACATTTGACATTTGAAATTTTAGATCTGATTTTGCTTCGTGCTCTCATCATCAGAATACTAAAGAGAAGTTTTGTAAGATCACATATCAAGCCATTGCCTTACCTCATACACCCATTTCTAAATGCTTACATGTGCATTGGGTACATGTGAACATAAAATTTCATATTCTTTGCTTATATCGGCATTTTCTTTTTATCTTTGTATTATTTCAATAAATATTTTCACTTTCTGATCATTAAGACGTATGAAAGCACAGTTTATTTAGGAGCAAGAGAACAAATCAAGACGAAATGAAATATAAAAACTTTAGATACAAAGAAATATGCTAAGACTTAAAAAATCACATGAAAACAGTTGCGAAATTTGATACTCCATTGTAAATAAGTAACACAAAACCAATCTAATCTCGGAAAGAAAAATAAAATATTGAAAACAAACACGAATCTGTGAGAGAAAACAGCGCTCCAAATTTTGATCACGAGCTGCTATTAACAAATTCAATTGTCGCCATTTATTTTTTATGAAATTTAAGATACCCGTTAGGTTGATAAATGTTACATTTTCGTTACATTTTGAGTTTAAAAAATTGAGAATTTAAATTTAATAGTCAAGTTATATATAAAAATGAAGTTATACAATAACAATATATGTATATATGTGCGTGCGTGTGTGTGCATGTGTGCTTACGTGTGCGGTTATTTATATTGTTATAACCATCACAAAGATATTTGCTATAGACGCTAGTGTCGAACGCATGCAGTTCGAGCAGGATCTAATACGTTCTGACAGCGAGATATCAAGGACGTTCGAGAAGCGTCGGTAAGACAAGTACATAAAGACATGCGAGGTATTGAATGAGGGTTGTTGAATATTGGACATTGGAAAACGAATAATTGTTAGCGTCGAAAGTGATGTTTGATATATGACTCAGCGTTGTATTTTTATTCTATATGCGATAAACGTTAGTGAATTGTTATTCGGATAGCGATAGTTTCTAAACATTAATTTGATAGTTTGTAAATACACTTGTAAAATTGATTTCTGATAACTTTAGTTTAAAAATTAGAAAATTGGTTAAATATAAAATTTAAATAATGTGAATCTTGGTTAAAAATTATTTTTTGTTATAAATAATAATTTAAAAAGCTGTTTTTGATCAAAAAAATTGTCAATTAAGATACTTAATTATTACTGACAAAAAAGATCCTAGTTATTGAATATAAAATAAAAAGAGGTTCATTTATTGATCTTATTAAATAACACATTAAAAAATTTCAAGTTTTTCAATAGCATAAAGCATTTGATGGAAACAATTGAACGTGAATGATGTTAATGAATTGAACGTTCAAAATTGAAATTATGTAGCGAAATAATGAGAATGATGATGATAAGGCGAAGAATGCAAGAAGCATTTGACGATCTGCAAGAAAGAGCAATCAGTCATCTGCGCACGTTTCGCTTCGTTTCTCGTCGCCGCGTGATCTCCTCTTCTCGGCCGACCAGCTAAAATAGAAGGAGCATTTTAATAATGTCTTCAAGGTGAGCTTCTGTAGGCGTTGAGCTGGAAAGAATTATGCATGCGTTAGATGGCAACAATTATGGGAGGATCAAAAACATCTATAATTAATGATGATGATAATAATATGTAATAAAATTATATGAATTAACTAAAAGATTAAAAAACTTTAAATATTTTTTGAACATTTTATTTTAGATCGTTACAATATAAATTCCCAAAAAAATGCTCGTGTATATTTATCAGCAGCTGTAACGAAAGAAAATGTAAATGAACATAACAATACTATAACGTTTTGAACTTGGATGTTATCAAAGAGTGATCATGTGACATAGTTATGTAATTTAATTGAAGCTAATGATGAGTGAAATTGCAGGAGTTACTTCATTGGAGCGTAAATTTTCTTGGCAGGTTGATTTCATGCCAAGACAATGTTGCTGATGTCAAGGCATTACTAGCGTCCTACACGCTTATACGTTTCTATTTCATATAAAATATATTAAGTAATATATTCTGATGATTTGTGAACAAAACTTTTTTCCATTCATTTGATTAAACGGCTAAATTGTAAAAAATGTGTTTTTTAATTTGTGTAATAGAAATAATATCAGTATTTTAGCTATAATAAAATAAAAGACTAAACTAATGAAAACACAGCGCAATTTACTGCTGGTGTTTAACAGCTGAACACGAGTGTAAAAAAATATATCTATTGAGACAATATCACTAACGCTGAGAAATATGTTGTTGGAATGAAAGCTGTATATATTTTCTTGAATTTTAAAAAGTTTTTTAATTGCGTTTAAAAATTCCAAAATATTATTTTAAAACACAAAAAGACATTTTAAGCTTGTTTATTATGCATTTTGTTAATCTGTCTAGTTCAGCTTAAATTTAGAAACTTAGTTAATTATACTGATAAACCATTGAACATCATATCTATCATTCCATTCGAAACTTCTCTTTCTTTCATGCTTGGATATTTAATGACGATAAAATTTAGATCAATCAAATGCTTTGGTCATATTTTTATACAGCAATACGCCTGTATGTCTATCTGTCTGTCTATTATTTTCATTTGATAATAAGAACGCTAAAAATATTAATTAAAATTTAAAAAATGTTTTGTATCTATCATTAGTAAATAAAAGATTTAACTGAATATATACTACTAAATAAACAAATTATTTCAATCAGGAAAAACATTTTTGAAGAATTTGGTGAAAAATTATTAACAAGATTCTTAAATCATTTATTAAATTCGAGCGGCACGAACAGGCAGCAAACTCAAAAATATGACACCTGGGCATACGTGTGCGAGGTTGGCTCTATGGAAAGTATCAAAAAAATTGTTTGCCTCTGTGACAGTGAGCATAGCTCTAGGCCTTATTATTTGAAACAAAGGATCTATAATAAATTAATTTATATAGCGCTTGGTCCAATATTCAAAAACGCTCACAAATACATTAGAAAAAATGCGTAATAATGTAGACTCACAAATTTTTTAGAAACAAATTTCAAGAGTGCTTCCTGCATAAAACAAACGCAAATTTACCAACTGAACAGAAATAACATAAGTGCAAATGGCAGTAAATAATTTTATGAACCAGAGATACAGCAAAGTGCACGTCAGCCGTCATCAAGACATAATTAGTAAATTGAAACGCACAAGCAACTGACTGTTTGCACGAACAGACCAACATTTTCTTCTAACATGATTAATTTAGGTTCGTTATCAAACATATGAAGAGTTCTTAATGTTTAGGTGGACTGAAATTTGATACAATTTTTTTAATTTCTCAAAAATATACAAAAAATCGAAACTTTATTGAATGGAATTATTTACATAAATTTATTTATTTCTTTTGCCAAAACCTTATGCAAGTTTGAATGAATGCTAACGGTTTACGTAAAAAAATACATGATAAGTGATTACACTCTACTACTTCTGTTTTAACTCATGCATCATTTTTAGGATTGTCTTTTGGGACTTTTCCATTAAATATTTTAATATCCAGCAAAGGCTTTTAAGAATTGCTCCTCCTTCAGTAAGCAAGACCACCTCGATTTTATTAACTCTTCAAATCCTTAATAAATTAATGAGTAAATTGATTTAATTAACATTTTAAATCCTATATAATTATTAATTACTAAATTTTGGATATAGCTCTTTTAACGATTAAACAGAAATTGCTAAGTTTGTATATGTGTCTAAACAATAATCCATTTTAAAGTCGGACAGTATCATTTATTTGTTGTTTGTGGAAAATAAATAATTGAATGAAATAGATTGAAAAAAACCAAAGCAAAGCCCAAATCTAGCCGGATCTCCAAGCACAGCGGATATCTAAACTCGGTTTCAATTTGGTATTGCTTAAGGCTTAGATGTTGGTTTCTGTGCTGTTGTAAACAATTTGAATTTTGGATGCCAAATTTGTTACAACGAGCATGAGTGTTGTTTTAATAAAAAAGCTATAAAAACCCTACCAACCCATAAATGGTTGAAACTTGTAATCTTTCTGTTTTGGTCTAGCTGTGTGTAACAGTTTTCTAAAATCAGCCAAAACTACGGCCGGTTAATTTTCAAAAGAAATAAAAAATCTTTTGTTCTAGAATTTTCATTTAACACATTTTTTGTGGTGTCGCAAATAATAATTGCAATTACATATTTATTGTCGTCGTAATCAAATGATGAGCTCAGTAAAATTTCAGTTTAATTGATTTTATTTAATAATTTCCAAAACATCATTAACATTGTGAAAATCATTCATTTAAATAATTTTTTTAAATGGCACCGCGAAAAACGTCATCAGTAGCCAGTATTATTTTTTCTTAAAAAAACTTAAATTGTTAACAATAAATGCAGATTGATTCGTATAGACAACAAAGACATTCGGTAACTGTTGATGTCGGTTACATATACAAAGATAGTACTGCATATGAGAAACTCCTAAATGAAAGAAAACAACCAGGTGAGTAGATTTACCAGTTTTTTGCTATTAATGATATCTCTACGACACCTTTGTGAATTTTTTGCTGAACGCCTATTTAAATTTATGTCAAAATGCCACTAACATTTTATTGAAGTTTAGTACATTTATTGTAGAATTTTGTTTTAATTATTTGAAATGCAACTATTGTATCGATAGTAACGTTTATCTATCGAGACCTCACATATTCTCGCTTCATTTTTTACTGGAAATCTTAAAAACAAATAGCTAATTTAAATTTTTACCAAAGAGGAGGTCCGAATAATGCACAAAAGAAGACTCCCTTCTTTGACTCCCTTCGCACACTCAAAACACTTCTGTAACAAACGACTTGACCAGCCGTTGTTTAAAACCTTTTTTAATTTTGCGAAAAAAAAAAGAAAAAAAACGTGTTATGGTTATGAGTTTTTTTCATATTGACCGTAATCGTGCAGAAAATTTTATTCGTTTATACTTTTTCTATCCAAATGTTGATTAAATGCAATTTCAGTTAACATCTGGTTTTACAACACACGACGATTTGTTGGACGATCTGGTTTCTCCTATTATTATAGATTACGGTGACTTTGCACACCAAAACAGAAACAATTGGCATGACTAAAACCACTTTTTCACGCCATTTCACAATGCACAGACAAGCCTTTCAAAAATCGTCTTCACGACCAACATAACATGACAATTAGCAGAAGCGTCTTGACAACCAGCACTAAAATCCTTTGCCACGTACACTAATGGTGACTACTCAGTCGAAAAAGCTTTATTTAGTGTTATAGATATATCTGTTCTTATGAAAATTAATATAAATATTTTTAAAACAAATTTTTTCTTATTATTTTGACTAATTTATTCTATATTATACAAAATCTTGAAAAAAGATCAAACAAAATAAATGTCATTGAAATGCTGTTAAATTTATCAGTATTTGCATATATTGATGGTGAAATTAATTTTTGGTTTATTGAAAATTGTTAAAAGTAGTTGTTGGAAACAAAAATATCGTCTACATGAGGCATGTACAAATGCAGTTTGAATTCTAGATAATTTTAAAAAATATCAATTTTCAAATTTTCTCTGTAAAAATTAGCAAATAAGACACCCAGCAGCTATCCCTTTGCCACTCAATTGCTCTGTCAAAATAATTTTCCTGTAGGAATGAAAAATGTGAAGAATAGTACCTGCCTGCTTAGCACAATCTTTAACATATTTTTCATTAGATGTTTGGAATTCCTGACCGAAATAGTTGTAAAAAATAAACATTTTTTTATGATTGTGTCAACAGTTCCTTTAACTGGCACATTGATGAATATTGACCCAGCATCAAGAGAGGTGATGTACTTTGATGCTATGTGTTGGTGTTTAAAACTTGAATAAAGTTTCTAGATCAGGATGGGGGCAAACTACAACCCGTGGGCGGCCCGTGAGGCCTTGTTTGCCCAAAAAAGGTCGTCAGGCAGACATTATGGCCAAAAAAAAACCACAAATTTTAAGAAAATTTTCTCCCGGGTCAAAAAAATTTCCTATTTAAGTACATATCTTTCAAAGGTAAAATAGTTCTCAATGCGGCCCTCACAGTAAAAAGCTTGCCCACTCCTATTTTAAATGATTTTACATTGTAGTTATTTTGTATGTACGAAGTTTAAAAATTGTATTCAATATATATATATATATATATATATATATATATATATATAATATATATATATATATATTGGTAACAGACTGTTGTTAACGCAACATTTCAAAAATTCAACACTACTTTCAACATTGTTCAACTTTTTTATATTGATATATTATATATATCATATATATATATATATATATATATATATAT